ATACACAATTGAATGAATGATATGAAAAGGAAGATGGATGATAAGGTGAAATAAATTAAAATACAGTAGTACAATATCAGAAATTTATATTTAATAAACTATAGTACACTAAATACAGAATACACAACAAATATTATTTATTAACCCGTAAACGGTCCAAAAGTATTTATACGTTCACTACCCCAGTGCCCTGAATATTTTGAAAAATAAAAAAAAAAAATTTTTAAATGAAAATAAAGAGCATATTTTCTAAGTGTTATAGGATTAAAATAAAGAAATTAGGGTCAGTACTTACTGAGATATGAGGCTGCAAAGTTGGCACTTAATGCTCACCTGATGGCAACATAGAGTCCTGCCGCTTGCAGAAGTGTTGCTGATATACCATTTTTTCTCATTTTTATATTATTTTATATAATTTTTATGTTCTGATAATTACAACTTATTGCAGTTCTTGTCATTTCATAACCAATCTTTGTGCTGACACCAATATTAGGTACTGAAATTGTACTAAAATTGTCACAAACACATTGACAGGTGGACATTTACACCTGCCTTGGTCATTTACTATTGTCTAGGAATATATACAAAGTATTTATAGGTCCCAGAAATGTTTTGGATACACAGGAGTAAAGAAGAAGAAGAAGAAGAAGAAGAAGAAGAAGAAGAAGAAGAAGAAGAAGAAGAAGAAGAAGAAGAAGAAGAAGAAGAAGAAGAAGAAGAAGAAGAAGAAGAAGAAGAAGAAGAAGAAGAAGAAGAAGAAGAAGAAGAAGAAGAAGAAGAAGAAGAAGAAGAAGAAGAAGAAGAAGAAAGAAGAAGAAGAAGAAGAAGAAGAAGAAGAAGAAGAAGAAGAAGAAGAAGAAGAAGAAGAAGAAATTCCCTTGAAGCAATGTGTAAGACAAGTGTTCAGTGACAAGCATCTGGGAGGGCAGTGATAAAATCAGATATGAGATGACATTTAATGGGCTCCAGGGAGGGTGCATAGATGAGATAGTGCAGAGATAAGTGGAGATAAGCTATGTCATTTGATGGGTGCCAGCAAGGGTGTAGAGATAAGGGATGACATTTGATGAGCTCATATCTCTGATTATCTGTCTCTGTCTTATTTCTCTGCTTGTCTCTTTCAGTCTCTCTGCTTGTCTCTCTGTCTGTCTCAGAGAGAGCTACTGTGAACCAACAGGTATTTTTATGCAATATACCTACATGCGCAGTATAGCACTTCGGATTTTTTAGGCTATCCTAGGTAATTTACACTACGTATAATTGTATTTGTGTGTACCTGTGAGACAGTGACAGATAGACAGAGACAGAGATGGACAGAAACAGAGACAGACAGAAAGACCCTAAACTTGGGGTTAACATCACTTTCCTCTTAAAAGGGGAGTGTTAATATGACATTACATCAGTGAATCCTTGGTGTTTGCCCCACTGTTTGCTCCAGCTGGCACTCAATATAACTGGCGCTCCCACAAGGTACTAAATGGTCCCAGATTTTTTTAATATGGTGCACACCGAGTGTTAAGACCCATTCTATGCTGACCAGGCATCTCAGGCCAATCGTGCCAAATTTGGAGGTAGGAAAAATAAAACGTATATTTTCGTTTGGGGCACTAGCGGTAAGAACGTATATACAGTGGACCCCCGCATAACGATGGCATCACATAGCGATTTTTCCGCATAACGATTACTTTTATCGCAAAATTTTTGCCGCGCATACCGATTAAAAACCCGCTTACCGATTTTCGTCCGAGACGCGTCCAATGTGCCCTCACATGTGCCGGCCGTCCCATTGTTTACCAGCCAGCCTCCGCGGTAACATCCAAGCATACACTCGGAATATTTCGTATTATTACAGTGTTTTCGGTGCTGTTTCTGGAAAATAAGTGACCATGGGCCCCAAGAAAGCTTCTAGTGCCAACCCTGTGGTAAAAAGGGTGAGAATTAGTATGGAAATTAAGAAAGATTTTGAAGGGTTTGGGGCTAACCCTGAGAAGCCTATGCCAGTTGTGGAATCCATTGTGCCTACTTCAAAGATTAAGGAAATGTGTGCACAGTGGGTTGAACTGCAAACCTTTATAGATGAAAATCACCCTGACACAGCTGTTGCAAGCCGTGCTGGTGACTATTTCAATGACAATGTTATGGCCCATTTTAGGAAAGTCTTGAAGGAACGGGAGGTACAGAGCTCTATGGACAGATTTGTTGTGCGACAGAGGTCCAGTGACTCTCAAGCTGGTCCTAGTGGCATTAAAAGAAGAAGGGAAGTAACCCCAGAAAAGGACTTGCTACCTCAAGTCCTAATGGAAGGGGATTCCCCTTCTAAACAGTAAGAAGATAATGCTCTCCCCTCCTCCCATCCCATCAATCATCACCAGATCTTCAATAAAAGTAAGTGTCATGTAATTGTGCATGCCTTTTTCAGTTTGTGTGTATTAAAATTAACATTTCATGTGGTAAAAAAAAATTTTTTTCATACTTTTGGGCGTCTTGCACGGATTAATTTTATTTCCATTATTTCTTATGGGGAAAATTCATTCGCATAACGATTATTTCGCATAACGATGAGCCCTCTTGCACGGATTAAAATCGTTAACCGGGGGTCCACTGTATACGTTTGGACTGTTTACAGGTTAAATATAAAAACAAAAAGGAATACAGTATTGCAAGCAGTGATAGGGAGGTTGTAAATGCAGTTTCCTGTTACTGTATGCTGCAGTTACCTATTTGTGGTTACAGGAGCAGAGCTATGCTTGTAGTGTCCCATCTTCAGTATTTTTTTTTTCACTGTACATTTCACCTTTACATACTATAGGAAAAAATTAATCTTGTTGAGTAAGGATCAATTGTGGTAGTGTCCTTGGAGCCAGTTCAGCCTCATTTAAGTTCCTGAAACAGTCATAAAAAAAATTGCAGACATGCAATTATATAATCTAAGGATACACAAACTCCACACTAATAATCAATATCTATTTATTTACATTATTTACCACTTCATATAATATATACTGTATATACATTATTCAAAAAGTTAACATTAAATGTGTTCAGTAGGATCCAACAGGTATTATAAAAATTCTTGTTACAGAGGTTTTTGTTTTGGGTGAGAGAGGGGTGAGGCAAGGTGGTAGTGTCAAAAGCCAACATGATGACTAGCAGAGTTACACACTCTGGGGAAGACGAATAGTGGAAGGGAGCCCCTTCACTAAACACACTCATACACACAAAACTGTCCCTTTTTTTCTTCTTTTTTTTTATATAAATTTTTTGATGGGAGAGAAGGCAAGGAGAGAATACTTCTGTGGAAGGTTAGAGCTTCCCTCCCCCCTTTTCACCAGCTGCAAAGGTGATTTACACATACAAAATAAATAGATAAACCAAAGTAAATCCTACTTACTACTTTCCTCACTCAATGACTTTGTTTTGTCTCATAAGACTGTGAAAAAATGTGGAAAGTGAGACAGAGGAAAAAAGCACCAGGGAGACTTAGAGGGGTCTTTACATTGATCATTAATATTAATCTCATGTTTCTTACAAGATTCAGATGAAAATAATACAAAATATAGTTTGGATTACAGAACTAGACATAAAATTTTATGTACTCTGTTGTTAGCAAATTGAGAGTTAATGTTCTTGGTTACAAAGAGGAGAGACTGAATGCACTGTTTCCAGGTTGTACACAATCCTAATGAAAAGTTGTTTCCTGGTAATGCCCCTCTAATATTATCTTAGTAATACTGCTTCTAACACTTTTTATATTGAACTAACTTTTGTCAATGAATGTGTGCATGACCATGTATAATGTTATGTGCTTATAACAAGTGTAACATGTGTGACCAAGTATGTACAAGTAATGTGTGCGATGACCTAGTAAAACAAGTGTATCTGTATGACCAGTCATGGGTGTGTATGAGAAAGTATAAGTTTATGATGAAGCCTAATGAGTGTGTGACAAAGAATAATGAGTGCATGTATGTATAACCAAGTACTGTACAGTATAAAGTACTTCAGCAATGAGTTTGCCTGCTACTTTCAACCACATTGTTTGGGTACAAAATTATTGCATAACTTTAATATGTATAATGAAGTACTGTATCTCTCCTGGTGGATGTGAGAAAAAAAAAACATTTTGCAGACATGAATGAATCCACAGACAAAGGGATGTGAAATTAGTGAATATTAATGGTTTTTGAAAATATACTTTAACTCTAAAAACTAAGGAGAAAGCCAAATGTCTGATAAGGCTGATCTCATGGGGTTACCAGTGAAGTTTGAGGTGATGGAGATGTGGTTGTAATGTGAGTATCCGAATGAGTGATTTTGATCATCCCAAACTTCCAAGCCTTACTACACATGATTCTAACACCGGGAAACACCCTCCATCAACATAACCACATGCCTTCATTATAATGTGCAATTCAAATATTCCCTTCATGAAAGTGCCTCAATACATGCTTATAAATTAAAAAAAAGTTTATATGTGAGGGAGATTGTCTTTGGGCTATGAAATCTATTATTTTTCTCAATTAGGTTTCATATATAAAAGGTAAAGGTAAGAACTCCTTAATGAAAGGGTGTGCTTGACTGCTACCCCTCACTAGATGCTAATTAGATGTTAGTTATCTAGTAGTTGGTGTGGAATGTCTCATATTAGAATGTGTAAATGTATTTTGTTGGACGGGATTTGTTTTGTGAGGGCTCGGGTACTGGGTAGTGGTGAGAGGTTGGTCTGAGGGTATCATCTGATTGTGAGTTACTCTCTGCTGTGTGTGGGAGGTGCTGCTGGGTGTAGTAAGATAAGTAGGAGAGGTGAGGGATGTAGCACTAGTTGAACACTGTGGTTGTGATGCTAAGCTCAGTGTCCCCTTGCTGTTGTGCATGTGAATCCCCTCCTGATGGTGTGCCAGCTGCTGCTGACGCTGCTGTTGCTGTTGTACTTGTTGGTGGGGAAGTTTTCCTCGATGCTGAAGACTCTTGTGGTTGGCTAAAGCATTGCGTGTGCGATAATGTTTGTTGCAGACGTCACACTTGTGCTGGTACGTTGTAGTAGAAGAGTGCTGGTCACGAATGTGTGTGGGTAAGTGGGTCCTCTTGCTCAGCCACTTGTAGCAGATGGGGCACTGCTGTTGCCGCCGTGGATCCACTGCAATGAAACACCGACACGATCAACAACTATAATCAGCAATACTGTACCTGTACCTCAACACCTGTGTCTACCTCATGTAACTTGTGCAACTAACTTCTTCAACCTCTAATTCACATCATGTTCCCATTACATTCTTCATGGCATAATAAAACTGTAGATTTGTACATATTCCTCTTCTTATGTTGACCTCAAGTCTTGTATGAAATATTACAAGACTGGTTCAAACCACACGAGCATATATATATATATACCTATATTATTATTGTGGCTCAATGCAGCATATTACACAAAAAGGTAAACTTAATTATAACTATGAATTTCTTTTGAAAAAACAAAGAAAGGGAAAACCTTCAAATTATCAACAAGAAGTGTGTAAAATCTAGAGTAGAAAAGTTGCAATTCAGTAACTAAGAAGAAATTTTCTCCATTAAGTATGAGAGTCTTTAAACCATTAACTAAGAATAGTTACCAGATTATTTAACTAAGAATAGTTACCCCTATTATTTAACTAAGAACATTTATCCCCATTATTGAACTAGTTACCCCCCATTATGTAACAAAGAATAGTTGCCTTCCACTGACAATCACTCTCCATTAACTGAGAATAATTTTCCATTAACTGATAATAGTTACCTTCTATTAACTACATTATTAAGGATGAGAGGTACATATATCTACAAGTATTTTACAAGGCAAGAGCTGTTATCCTTTCCGAGTTCCTTTGTTTCTATTTTAATCAGGGGAAATGCTAAACTCATAGGGGTCATATAGCTCCTGGGGAATAAGGCATTCAAGTTTGATTGAAGGAGCAGGAGGATAAGTCCAGTTCCTTGAATCAAGAGCCCCCTCACTTGCATCAAAGCACCTCCCTTGAAGGGTCAACTCATTACAAACCTTTACTCTAGCAATAGCTTTATTAGAGATAATTTATCAATATATTGGTAAACTAAATTTAATACAGTATTAAGCAACAAACATAAAGTGTGAAAGATAAAGTTAGAGCTGTCTGAGCCAAAGCTTTTATTTGGTCAGTTGATATAGTTCATGAATTTGTATTATGAAAACATGCTCTAAATTAAAATCAATTGAGAAACAAGTGATCACTGACGGATTAATAGCCTTAAAAAAATAGTACTACTGAAGTGAACCCACTGACTGCTGCCACTCTTATGACATAATCAATACAGCTTGCTTGTCAAGCTGACCCATGTTGGGGAACCCAGAGATTGTTGTTCTTAGACATAACAGTATGGTCATCATCATCTCTCCAGTGTCAAAGCTCTTTACTGAAATGACATACCCAAGCAAAATAGTTAAATGATGGAAAAGGGAAATCACCTAAGAGAATGATGCATATTCCAGGTGAGCCAACTTGTGCTTTGTAGAGTTTGACAGCTAATTAATATTACATTCATAGAGAAGCATTAAACTTGTGTGAGTCATATAGCACCTGTGGAATTCAGGGTACAGTAATTAAATTTTATTCAAGAAAGGGAAGGTTAACTTTGATTATTTTAAGGGTTGGTAACTAATGCTGTGAAGAAAGTAAACCTATTTTGCTTTTTTTTCCCAACCACTGACTCCAATGTGGCTGTATGTTGCATTGCATGATCAGTAGTGTTACACAACAATAAAGTGCCCTAATATCGATAACTCTAGTCCATGGCTATTGGTGTATACTTTCAATGTAATGTAACTCCTTCAATACCAAACCCAGAGTGAGATCATCCGAATACTTCCTTTGTTGTTTGGTTAAATATGACTTTCCCTACTATGCTTTATTGTCTCCATTTCTGTTGGTGCATCAATGTTTACCTCTGGGAGTCCCAAATAATGGGTACAGAGTAATCAACAGATATACAACTCTTACATTTACACCTATCTGCTGAACACAGGCATATGCAGTTTGATGTCATGGCTTGAGGGAAGATGTTGATTTATGTAGAACTTTTAGCATTTGTTTTCGACTTGTTTGGTTTTCTTGTCCCAACTGCTCAACTTCTTTTCTGCCCTTGTTTCATGAGTGTTGCTGTATCTGTCCATGACCCCATGGCAGTCTGCTGTGAAGAACATTGCCTGGTTTGTCCTCATTTCTCCCTATTCAGGATGACAACCACAAAACCCTATTCATCCCTGTCCTTGTTGAATCCATGGCCTGTAATCTCCATGCACTCCTTGTTACTTAATCTCTTCATAGACAGTGTAGCTGTTATAAAAGCCACCATATTAATGACTTGTTTTGAGTTTTTCTATTTGCCTTCTAGTCTGTTATCAGATTTACCTGATGAGGCAATCACCGGGAAGTCTTGGGACATGCCAGGCTACAAGCATAAACAAATTTTGAACCAGCTGAAGGTATGTAACAATTCCAAGTCAATTATGTACTATATGTATGTATATACAATATTAAAATAACCTCTTTTCATGTTCGGTCTTCAAAATTTACTATATGAATCCAACCTAGTGATCTACTGACTTACTAAAACCGAAATAACAAAACCACACAAAAAACTTGGTGAGAGTCCCAAAAATGTAGAGTATCATTTTCAGCAGTTACAGTAATGCTGTTAACATTTACATAACTTACACACTTATATCAAAAGTTTTAATTATTAGCATGTTTGTCTATTAACTAAATACATTTCTGATTCAATACCAAGTGATAATATAATGACAAATAAAACTTTTTATAAAGCAAGGCAATACCTAAGCATAATATTCAGTTGAATCCTTAAACCAATAGCAAAATAGTTTACATCATGCAAGAATTATATATATAGAGGTTAACAATACAAGGGTATAAATTTGGATTTTAATTGATTCACATTATATTAATATACACCTGCATCACATCAAAACCAGAAAATAATGCGATAAAATCATATCTTACATTATGCAGCATATTACTATAAATAGGGAATTGTAATGACTCAAAAATAATAACTTGTATTAAGTGTAGATATGTGTCTATCTTTATTTTTTTGGGGCAGATGGCATCTTGGCTTATACATCTATGATTGTTTTGCTTCGAGCACTTGTGTTAATATACATTAAAATCTCTGATAATATTAGCTGAATGTTGGTCCTCAGCATATTATGGTGATAAATTCCAGTTTAAAGAGGCTAATTTTAAGTTTGCTTGGCAAATGGAAAAAAAATCTCGTTAAATGCAACATAACCTAATGTAACCCAACATTACACAGCAGAATCTAACATTATATTATTGGCAGAAATGGAATTAGCATGTCTTTGTTTATGTTTGCTGTGATTACTTTTACCATTATCTATACAGAGATTGGCCAGACGGGCTGACTCAAATATTAGCTTGATTGGACCTGACAAAGTACTGAAGCCAAAACAAGGATATTATTTTGTTAATATCTACCGTAATAACATTTTGCATAAGCAATAAGTATCTATTGTATACATAGGTTATATAGGTATTTAAGTTGTATGTTAAACAACAATGCCCAAGTTCCAATGAGGACCAACATTCAATAATATTCAAGATTTTCTGTAGTCATTTCCACCTGAATCACTTGTTATCAAGTAACCTGCTTCTATCTCTGAATTATGGCTTAACTAATGCTTCCTCACTGGTAGCACCATAAAGATTTCTCCAGTCCAGTTTCCCAGACAATTGAGTGTCAGTGGTTGGTGTGATTCATGTAATTTGCTTCAACATAATGGAAGCATGTTTACCTGCTATTCAGAGGGGTATATTAGACTTTAAGTCTAATGAGGAATTGCTTCATTAATATTTCTACATGAATTGTTTTAATATACAGTGGCTTGTGTATGCATATATATATATATATATAATATATATATATATATATATATATTTTATATATATATATATATATATATACACACATATACACTCACAAAACAACCACTGTGAAAGCATAGTGAAATTCCAAGCACTTTTGTGACTTCTCACATTATCAAGGAACTATAAAAACAATACGTCAAAGGAAGGCATATAAAGGGTCAAGACTACATCTTACCATCACATCCCACAAGAAAGAAGCACCTGACGCGTGACGACACCCGCTGCAGTGTTCCTCCTTTCTTATGAGTCGGGTGTCGTCACGCATCAGGTGTTTCTTTCTTGTGGGATGTGATGGTGAGGTGTAGTCTTGACCCTTTATATGCCTTCCTTTGATGTATTGTTTTTATAGTTCCTTGATGATGTGAGAAGTCATGAAAGTGCTTGGAATTTCATTATGCTTTCACAGTGGTTGTTTTGCATATTCTGATATCACCTGTTTACTGTGATCTTATTGTGCGTATATATATATATATATATATATATATTATATATATATATATATATATATATATATATATTATATATATATATATATATACACACACACATACACACCAACACACACACACACACACACCAAACATCAGGTGCCCAGTACCACTGGACACGTCATGTCACCCCTGGATGCAAGCATATTATAGTTATGCAAGACAAGCTTTGGGGGATTAAAATCCTCAGCTCTAGAGCTTTCACATGTTTCCATGCATCATCAGGTGCTATGTAATCTTGCAACACTGCATAGCTTCTGATGATGCATAAAGATGTGTGAAATATTTTGAGCTGAAGATTTCCATCCATGTGGTTTGCCTTGCATTAAGATAGCTTGTCTGAGACTATATTGCATATGTGTGTGTGTGTATAAATAAATATATATATATATATATATATATATATATATATATATATATATATATATATATATATATATATATATATATATATATATATATATATATATATATATATTATATATATATATATAAAATGTGCCGAAAAGGTAAAACTTGCAATTTTGGATTAAATAGCAATGCTCTTCTTGCCGAATAAGGCAAGCAAAAATTTGTGTATGCAATAATTTCACAAAAATCATTCTAAACTTAATGAAAAAAATATATTTAATTGTGTTTAGTATTAAATTATTGTAAACTTATCTAAAATATATTTAGTTGATTAGGCTAAATTAGATTGCGCTTGTTATAATAAGTTTAGGTTAGTTTTCTACGGGTCTTTTGGTACAAAATTAATTTTTACATTAACATAAATGAAAAAATATACATCTTTAAACGTATGAGAGAAAATTTTAGAAAGGACTTAATTTTAAATGAGTTCTTGCTAATTGACCAATTTTACATATTCGGCACATTAATATATATATATATATATATATATATATATATATATATATAATATATATATATATATATATATATATATATATATATATAACACACACACACGCATGTGTGTGTAAATAAAGGCAGCACAATAATTTGAGCTGTATAAGTTAAGTTGTTGGGCCTTGCTCGGCAGGAACTAGGTGGTGCTGGTTGTAGTGTTATGCTGCTGCTGTTGACATGATTCCTGCATGTTGTACCCGTATGTGAGGTGGGCGTTAGTGTTATGGGTATACTCCCGAGGGTTATGTCCATGTGCCTGAGAGTGTGGGTGATGGGCGGGCTGTGTAGGCGGGTGGGCGTCGGTGGGCGGGTCTGGGCGGACGTGAGGGAGCGTGATAGGGTGGGTGAAGGCATCCAGCTGGCGGGCGGTGACGTGGTGTACACGATACATGTGCGTCAACACGTTGGACCGGTTGCGACAGTTCTTGCCGCAGACAGGGCAGAGGGCAGCGCTGGGGTCATGGGCGGTGTGGTGATCACGCACGTGTCGACTCAGGTTACTGCGCGAGCGGAACTCCCGCCCACAGTGGGTGCATCTGTGGCCCTGCCCGCTGCCCATCACTGTCCGCGTCCCGTACTGCTCGTCAGCCACGTCGTTGTGGGTAGTGTGAGGGGCGTGAGAGTAGCGGCGCCCGTTGGTGTCCTCGCTGCCCAACATTCTGGCGCTCACCGCCGTCACCACCTCTGTAAGGACAACCCAGCCGTCAGACAGACGCACCCACCGACCCTCAGCCCACACCTATAACATATCTCAACACTACTCACACAACACTCCACATACACTCACAGTGTGTGCAGCTAGTATCACGCATGTTCAAATGGCCATGCTGCATGCCATAACTCATGCCCAACTGCACCTGACGATCCAATTCATCTCTCACGCATAATCTAAAAACAATAATGGCATTTATAGAGATCTGCTCCTTTTGGGAATTTAGAGAAAATTCATTCCTAAAAGTATCCAATGTTAGGTTGGTTCTGCCACGGACATTGTTTTATATTGTGGAAATGTAATATAACAAATCCCAACTTAAAACAAACTAGCCTAATTTAACCTTATTCCTCCAGCGGTAGGTGCAAGTAGGATTGGCACACCTTCGTTTACATTTGATTCGTCTTTATGTTCACTGTGATTGGTCAGGAGAGTCAATACTAACCGTTGATTGGCCCAGACGTACACTTCCCAAATACGTATTATTTTTGCTATCTCCCAAATTAAAAATTTCCAGAAGAAATAGCAATTTGCGCCGGGTATAGATAGCATGCTTATATTTTTATATAAAAAATAATGCATGATTTCCCAGGACTGGATCTCTATATTAGCCAAAATAATATTTTACACTGTGCAATGGGATGTTACAATATGTATAATGTGATAAGTAGTTTAATATTTTAATCAGAGACAGAGCCAAAAGCGAGTTATTGTCAACCACAATATGGAATTATGCAAGTGCCCACACTTATAAAGAAATTATTAAAACAACATAAACCAATGTTTTATACAAATTACCCACACACAGGAGAAACTTATGACGACGTTTCTGTCCGACTTACACAATTAACTAGTCACACTTCCTGTATCTTCATCTGTATTCAATCACTCCACAACACTGAAAATCAATTCGAAATAACAAGTCATACTTTTGCAACAGTACCATTCGTTCATTAGCTACCTTTCTTATTGTGCTTATGAATGTAGTTAACTGCTTAAGAAATTATTAGTCTATGTCTAAAACTTAGTAGTCTTTAAGCATTAGGATTACTATGCCCGAAATGCATTCCAAACTAGTTCCTTTCTTTAGTACCTACCAATGTTTTTATTACATGTAAACTAAATTTTTTGAACCGCATAAGGAAATAACAAAAATGTATTAATGACTAGTTAATGGTCCAAGTTAGGCTGAAACGATGTCATAAGTTTCATTCTCCTATGTGCAGGTTATCTATTATTGTCCTAGTCAGGGAATTGTGCCTTTTTATTTTTTATGATAGCACCACGGTAACAATGGAAGTAGCAGCCAGCAGCGTTGTTATTATAACAGTCGGTCCACAAGAAATAAAGCTAGCTAACCGTGACTAAGCCTAATATAGGTACAAATGCCTTAAAACCAGCCACCTTGAGGTATAGTAGTAAAACCGGTTGCTATTTCCACCAACCCCTCTAGGAAGGTGCCCAGACGCCAGTGAAGGACTCCTGATCCAAGGAAGTGGAGCTATCCTACACTTCCTTTGATCAAAACTGACTGATTCCCATTCCCTATTCTTCAGTGAATTTAGCGTTTCCCCATAAATAATGCAATATTTCCACAAAATTACTCCGAAAAATAATGCTAGGAAAGCTGTGCAATAACAAGACATGAAAGAACACATGTATTGTTTTTAACTAGCATTAGTACAATTAAGATCCATGTAATAGTAAGATTTTGTTTTTTAATATAATTAATGCAGTACGCTGCATTCATTATTCGTCAATATTTCAAGCTGGAGTCACAACGGATTTCTCACGAATAAAAACTTCAGTATAATACGTTTGGTAACACAACATTCTTGTTTCAATATAAATAAAATACTCTGCATAGCCAAACGTTACCCGTCGAGGGAGGTAGGTGCCTTGATAGTGGTGAGAAGCTCTTGATTCAAGGAATAAATTTATCCTCGCCCTCCTTGAATGGAACCTGAATGCCTCTCATTCCCCAGGCGCTATATTACCCCTACGAGTTTAATGTTTTCCCCTGATAAAAAATAAATAAAACAACTTATGATAGTTGAATTTAGGTAAGCTTATGCTTGATTAGCACAGGGAAGGCTTAGTTACGGTATACATAAGCTTTGTTAAATTAAGTTTTGTAAAAAGAGTTTGTTGGAGCTGTTCTAAACCCGTTCAAGTCTTTATCCAACTAACTTATAAAACCATATAGCGTCCCTGACGTAAATGCACTGGCCCTAATCAAACTGCATGTAGCCCAATGAAAATAATTTTCCAGAAACATTATAGAAAATGAATGTACATGTATTGAGTAAGTTCCATTAGTAATTAGGCATTACATTACATCTCTAAAATATTTCCTAGTTTTATTTTCACGTGTAATTATTTTTAGAAGCATTCAGTCACTCATAAATGTTGCACATATTTAAACCCTGAAAGTGTCCTCACCCCCCCCCAAAAAAAAGCCCTATTTAAAGCAACGTGACAATTTTGTTTGTAATTGATGCTTAGTCCTTTTTTGATCAGTAATTCTTTAAAATATTCTTTGGTTACCGAGCCTCATTTTGGCGAGTACAACCAACAGAGGCGTCTCAATCATAGGGACCCTCAAGGCATAATGTACACAAACCGTGCGTTTGATGACTTACGTGCACACTTTATATCAGAATCGTGTCATGTGCTGAACATGTAACATAATACTGTAACAATGACTGGAGTCAACAATAAATTTGACTTCAATTTTTCATCATATGAACTAAAAACACTGCAGATTACTGGCTCGCGCGAGTGTTTCGGCTATTGTTCCACAAAATTCAGTACATTTCCTCTTAAATTTGTCCTAATATTGGCAAATAGGGAGCTACACTGCCCAACAACCCCGACTTCATCTTAATAAAACAGCAAAATATCTCAAGTTCGAGGTTTATACAGATGTATTATCAAATTACCGCACAAAAATCGCGCGACTGAAAAAATATGAAAAATAAGTGAATCCCTATAAATTACACCTAGTAAGCTAGTAAAGGCGAGAGCGGAGGTTACTCTTAACTACCGTAGTTATCCTAGTGTTCGGAAGTGGTGGCAGGAGGCAGGTGGCACTTGGAGTCGCTCATCATTGTGTTGGAGGTAGCAGCCGCCCGGTACTTGATATCATCCCTCATGCTCAGCTCCACAAGAGGTTCTGGCTGTGGGACGAGAGGTTGCTGCATGTGGCTGAACAGCTGTTGTTGTTGCTGCTGCTGCTGCTGCACACTAGTAGGCAGTTGGCTAGCAAGGGAAGGCTCGTGAGGGTTGGCAGAGTTGCCCTGAAGACCTAGTGGGGGCATGGGCTGGGCGGTGGCTATAGCGTGCTGGAGCGCCTGATCGCGGTTCTTTTCCTCGCGGTGGTACATGGTGATGTGGTAGCGCAGAGAGTTCTTGGACGAATACTTCTTGTTACAGTACGGGCAGGTGAACACCTGGGGCACAGCAGCGTGCAGGTCTCGCACGTGTGTGTTCAGGTTGGACTTGGAGGAGTAGCTCTTGAAGCAGTGGGGACACTTGTACGGTTTGTAGCGCCCATCTGAAACAAAGCAAAACACGGGAGGTGAGGCAGCCATCCGATCCAAGAGTGGCAGGAGGAGGAAGAGGAGGACCTTCGTGTCCTCTCCGTAGTGAGTGGCTTGTGTGGTGGAGGGCCGAGGCCTGCATTACCAACATCACCACAACTGCCATCAGCAGGTACTGTGGTGGAAGGCTAAGCCTCCAGCACAAGCATCAGCAATAGGCTATGTGATATGGTGTGAGATATCTACAACTACCAGCAGCAGGCGGTGTGGTGAAGGGACGAGGCTCATACAACAACCACTACCTTACACTACACCAAAACTACACTTTCTACTTGCAATACACTGCTCTAACATAAGTAACCGTGTGCACATCTCCCTGTGATGACAATGATCACCCAAGAACGACACATTTCGCTAATGCGAAATATAAAAAAAAAGGCATTCCTTATTAATTTTGCTAATGAAAATACATGTGTAAGTGATTAAGACCGTATGATACTGGAGGGGAAAGGGACCTAATCATTCGTGAATGATATTGGGTCACTTTTACAAGTACAACTTAATATTTGTGCATGGCGCTGACAGCTGTGAATTCCTTTAAAAGGCTTTAGTTTAAGAATATTGTTTTCATCTGAGATTAGTAGTAAAATAATGTTGATTAGACTGATAATCACTAAATAAGTTAATATAATCTCGGAAAATTGACAAATTAAGCTGGTTTTAGCTCTGATAATGCAAGACAATGCCAGTCTGAAAATAACACTACATTATAATTCCTCGCATTCAAACAAAATAATAAGGTATTTTTTAAATAACCAACCGAATAATACTGACTGACAAACTTGAAATGATTACAAATAAGTATGACTTTAAGTCATGCAAAACCAAAACAAAGCTACATGAAAAAAAAAAATGCCCTAATTATCAGGTTCAAGAGAGTCGGGAAGTAGTCTGGAAGAGAGTTAATCCCCAAATGCAGTCGATTGAATTAGAGCGTCAGTGAAAGACATTTACATTAGGAATTTATCATAACGAAGAAAACATTTATCTGAAAATTTTTAAGTCGAAATAACCACGAAAATAACTGATATAGTTCCGAAACACATTTCATCTAACGTTGGTGTATGATCAGATATGGGTTTAAGCTAAGTGCGTCTGCGTCCCTATCACAGTCCAGAATAGTAGCAGCCTGCAGCTTTATTTGCCCCTAGACTACATATACACTTGTGGCAGCCATTTACCCCTAGGTGCATACACTTGTGGCCACTCAAGGAAGACTCCCTGATGCCGGTAAAGGACTTCTGAACCAAGAAATTGTATATCTCCTTCCGTAGACCCAACCTGATTACTTCCCATTCCCTCAGGTGCTGAAAGCTCCAACAGCTTAGCGCTCCCCCATGAAAATAATAATTCGAAACGTATCTTAACAAGTTTCCTAAAGTATATATGCCTTTTTTATATAATTATGAGAGTTATATATCTAGTGAGAGACATACTACCAGTCTGATCGCTCTTTGAAAGTTTAATATAAACAACAGTAGTTACGATTCTGATAGGCTGTTGGGATGTTGAGCAGCGTCCCACGCAAAGGTTATAAACCATGAATATGATGAAGAGCTAAACCTATTAATCATACAGGTTCCCAAGGGAATGCCAGGGGTGGGAATAATTAGGTTTGATTCGAGGAAGGAGAGGTTAGTCACAATTCCTCTGATCAAGAACCCTGAAAAAGACCTATACAAAGATGAGCTATTATTATTATTATTATTACTGGAAAGCTGTAAACTCGCATGGGTGTTACAGCGAAGATAAACTATGAACAACAATTAACAAACTAAATTAAATACAGTATGATAAAAAAAGAGCAAAAAAGAGACCTTTATTAGCAGGACGTTTCACCTTCACGAGGCTTCATCATTCAGATGAAATATCGTAATAACAAAGGTCTACTTTTGATGCGTCTTGACCACTTCTAAGAAACAGTTGTTTGTAAATTCAATTTACAAACATCCGTTAAAGACTGATAATGAGTCAACCAATCAAACGTCAATAATATTTCACAATTTTTTTTTTGTAAGAAATAAATATGTAGTTAAAGTTACTGTTAATATAATTAGAGGAAGCGCTATAATTAGAAGCGCTAAACCCACAGTATTATAATCAGGGGAAACGCTAAACCAGCAGTATTATAACCAAGGAAAGCGTTAAACCCGCAGGTGTCATACTGTGCATGAGGAATGGGAGGCAATTTGGATCGATGCAAGGAATTCGAAAACATATTATTACTTTCTAGAATCAAGAGCACCCCAAGAAATGCCATACTCTCCTGAAGAAAGGAGTATGTTATTCCAAGACCTGTACGTACATATTTCTACCCTAAAATGTGCAGGGACTCAATGAGAAACGTTGTTATAATGACATTTACCCAGCGTTCCATGCGAGGGAACGCGGCGCATAAGGCAACATGAACATAAAACTGACGATGGTAATTACAACCATGCAGGTAGTAATGATTTTTTTTTTAGTGCCAGGAAGCGAAAAAGAAGAGCAAAAAATGGTTAGAATATGCCACCATCTCGGAACTATCCTAGACTGGAAACACCACCAGTGGCGGTCTCACCAGGGACACAAATATTGAAGCCAACAAACAAGCCTCCCAGCTCAGCGACAAACATAACATTTTGTTTTTTGCAAACATTCAACCTAGCAAAAACAACAAAATACCGTTCATCAGCGGCCTCCTCACAGAGTCAAATGCAATATGCAGCCTTTACGGAAACCTTTACAGAAGGTTAATTGGACAATGAAATATGGATTCCTAGTTACAACCTATTCAGATGCGACCGGAAAAAGCAGACAAGGGGGGGGGGGGGAGAAAGGCTGAATGTTAAAGAATCACTTACATGCACCGAATTATTCAACACCACGAATGTGGTAGAAATTCGGCTGGTTAAAATTGAAAATCTAAATCTAATTATAACTATGAGAACCATCAATTTCCCAACTAAAGAGCAACTATGGAAACTTCAGTTTAATTAAGATACCTAAAATGGAAGAATGTAGCAATGACTAATAGAAGAAAGAATCCCAGGAGATAGTTTAGGTGAACTGTCTCGTACAACTCGACTACTGAGACTGCGACAAATTCGCCTTATGCAAGCAAATAGCAGAACCAACTAGATTAGAAAATATTTTAGACCTTATATTCACTAATAATGAAGACCTAGTTCGGAACATTATAGTGTCGAAGACAGTAAACGCAGACCAAAACTTAACAGAGGTAAAGACATACATAACCATTGGTCACTCTTAACCATGAAGGTATCTGCAACAAATTTAACTTTAACATCAAACGCATCAACTGGGAGATAATAAATCATGAGCTTGTTGAAATTAATTTGGAAGACAATATGATAAACGGCTATCTAAACCAGTATATGGAGAGGATGAGCTCAATGGCTCTAAATGCTCAAGACACATATCGTTATAAAAGTGTGCCCTCTATAGGAGAACGGACTCTCTGAAGAACAAAAAGTAACATTGGCTCTTTAGCCAGAAAACGGTGAGCTTAAACTGAATACAGTGTACAGAGTCCAGGAGAGACAGAAGGAGCGAAAAGCTATAAGTGAAACTGCGAGAAATCCCAAATACTTCTACTCATATGCAAAATTCAAGTCAAAAACTGTAGGTTTAGCTCTTCTTTCTATAATACTAATAATAATAATAATAATGATAATCAGGTCAAAAACGTAATCCAGTATCGGGCCTTTAATCAAAGGAAATGGGACATACTGACAACAACGAAATGAATGAATGAAACACTTAAATCCCAGTACGACTTAGTGTGCAGTGAGTCACTAATCAGCCTTAAGGCTGACAACCCAAATAAGCAAATAAGGTCTCCATGAATGAGACACAAAATGCTGCAGACATCTGCTAAGACTGATACAACTCTATCCCCCGCCTGACTTCGAAGAAGCCATTGATTGCGTGCTTATGCACTCCACCCAGGGCCCAGACTCTTGGAATTCGATATGCATCAAGAATTTCAAAAAAACTATCATGTACCTTAAATATTCTATGGATTAGAAACCTAGACACTGGAGTCATCTCGCAGTCATTAAAAACCATTGATATTACCCCACTCCACAAAGGCGGTAGTATAGCAATGAAAAAAAAACTATAGACTAAAGCAAGATTATCAATCACATGGAATCGCAGGAGTTTCATAATCCAGGTCAATATGGGTTCAGAACTGGTCGCTCTTTTCTTTCGCAACTTCTGGACCATTACGACATGGTCTTGGATGCTCTTAAGACACAAAATGCTGATGTAGTATACCCTGACTGCAAAAACCTTTGATAAGTGCGACCATGGGGTAATTGCACACAAATTGTGCACAAAAGAAATAACTGGGAATGTGGGAAGATTGATTTTTAAGTTTTTCACTAATAGAAGTAATAGTAAACGGCGTGAAATCAAGGATTGCTATAGTAAAAAGTTCTGTCCCCCAAGGCACGGTTCTCGCCCCACTTCCTCATTTTCAGTTCTGACATAGACAGGGACATCAATCATGGCACTGTACCATCGTCTGTAGAGTAGAATCAGTGTCAAAATGGCATCCATTGAAGATATAGCGAGTCTCTAAGCTGATATCAACACTCTTCCAGTGGGTCACTGACAACAATATGGTGTTCAATGAGGACAAATTTTAATTACTACGCCATGAAAGAATGAAGGAAATGAAAACAAGATCAGAGTACAAACTCAAACCACTCAATAAAAAGTAAGTCTGAGAACGATAATGTCAGATCTCACGTTCAAGGAGCACAACAAAATTATTATTGCAACTGCAAGAACAATGATAGTTTACCAATGATGATTATTGGTCGCTCGTTCTCTGTAGGCTGGAGTATTGCTGTGTATCGGCTCCCTTCAAGGCAGGTGAAATTGCTGAGCTGAAAAAAAACAGTTCAGATAGCCTTCACAGTTCATATAAACACAGCCAAGTACTTAAATTACTGAGAGCGCTCGAGGTCCCTAGAACTGTACTCCTTACAACGTAGGCGAGAGACATCATAATCCACACCCGGAAGATACCGGAGGGACTGATACCAAAGCTGCACACCGAAATTACTACTTATAAACACAAGAGGCTTGCCAGATGTTGCAGGATACCTCCAATGAAAAGTAGGGAAGCGATGAGTACACTGAGAGAGAAGTCAATAAATGCAACTCCTCAACATCCTCCCTCCATCCACAAGAGAGAGATCACCAACAAACCCCTAGTAGCTGTCTTTAAGGGGAAACTACAGATTCCTCAAAACAGTTCCTGATCAACTGCGTTGCGGTGCATACGTTGGACTGCGGGGCGGCGGGCACTAACAGCTTGATTAATAAGGCCAGCAACCAGGATGCCTGGTTTAGGACCGGGCTGCGGGGGCGGTGATTTCTGGAAGCGACTCCATATAAAACTCTCATCATCAAGGTATTGTTTACTTACATAAATATATTACACTTTAAAATATTAATAATCTAGGACTTCACCCCAGAGGGATGACTATATTATTATTATAATAAAAAAGAAGCGCTAAGCCACAAGGACTATACAGGGGATGACTATAGAAGCCTGATGTAGGCACGCTTCCAATCACAGATAGTGTCATTGTTCCAGTCACAGATAGTGGCATTGTTCCAACCACAGCTAGTGGTATTGTTTCAGTCACAGATATTCACAAGTTAGTGGTATAAGGGTAATAAAGGCGGCTACATGTGGACATTGTCACCTGTCTCAGTCAATGTACCACAAATGAATGAAGATTTTGCACCCCTTCACTGAGTTTTATAAAGCTAGACTGGGATCACACCTTCGGCAGTAACAAAAATCTCTCAGGAATGGTATTTCGATTGATACAGAAGCCATAGTCAAACCAAGGACTATTGTATTACGCCACAGAGTATAATACCTCACAGAGGAATAATTTTTCCCTCCTGGGCTAGTATCATCACACGAATGTTGTGTTATGATCAACTAACACGGTTGTTATTTTGACCCTTGTTGTATGACACAAGTGTCATCGGATGTCATTATATTGTAAAAGAGTGATAAACCCATGAGAGTGGTAGTTGCTTTGACTGGTAGGCCTGAGTGTGTATACTAAGGCTACCACACACATTATCCAGTAATGAATCAGGAAATTATTGTAAGCTGTTCTGAATAAAATACTAGATGGTTTAGAATGATGGTTCAGAATGATGCTCTTCTACAGTAAGGTGACCTACACGTCTCATCAACACTCGACTTTTTAGAATAAAATAAGATGTCGAAGGTTTTGTCTTTTATTATTATTATCAATTTGACCTGATGTTTACTAATGCTTTGTTTCTCAAATTCGTTTTCATATATGACCGAATTAAAACATTTGTAATAAAATACGTCAACCATTATTTTTGTGAAATAACAGTTATGAAAACTAAAAGCAACACATAACAAAAATGGGTCAGGTTGTTATGAAAGTTGTAGTGTAGGATGTGCGTGAGTGAGGGTCACAGGTCAGGGCTCGCATGGTCAAAGGTTACGGATCATGACCACACTGCTGTATATGTTGTTTTACTAATATTTAGCAGGCTTTATTAATCCATTATTGAGATATCCTCCTTCCCTGCCCAAGACACTGCTGAGGTAACCTTCTCTACCCAGGACACTGCTGAGGTAAACTTCCCTACCTAAGACACTGCTGAGGTAACCTTCCCTGCCCAGGACACTGCTGAGGTAAACTTCCCTACCCAGGACACTGCCGAGGTAACCTTCCCTGCCCAGGACACTGTTGAAGTAACCTTCCCTACCCAGTACACTGCTGAGGTAACCTTCCCTTCCCAGGACACTGCTGAGGTAACCTTCCCTTCCCAGGACACTGCAGAGGTAACCTTCCCTGCCCAGGACACTGCTGAGGTATCCTTCCCTGCCCAGGACACTGCTGAGGTATCCTTCCTTGTCTAAGACACTACTGAGATATCCTTCCTTGCCAAGTACACTACTCAAGTATCCTCCACTGCCATGGCAGTGGCTGAACTGCCGTGGCAATAGTTGGACTGCCGAAGTTGTGACTGGACTGCGTGGCAGTGGTTGGACAGCCATGGGAGTGGTTGGACTGCCGTGGCAGTGGTTGGGCTACCGTGGCAGTGGTTGGACTACCGTGGTAAGTGGTTGGACTGTCGTGGCAGTGGTTGGACTGCCATGGTGGTGGGTGGATTGCCCAGGCAGTGGGTGGACTGCCGTGGCAGTGATTAGACTGCCGTGTCTCACCGAAAGACCAGCTACACCACTGCACAAATCATCACATAAACACACGTGATGAATGATGAATGTAGCGACAATAAAAGCCTAGAAGTGGCAGACTTGCTCGCTAGTTGTGATTAGGACAAGGAAGGGGGAGGAAAAAGTCTTGTACTAGCTCCTGGCCCGGCCTCCTTGAACACAATAATCCACATGTATGTTTTCTGATTCTCTCACTGATTCGTGTTGTTATATTCACAGAAAGCGGTACAGCCCCCCTCCTTTTTTTGTCCATGAAATACGGGGTTTGAAAAGAAATCGTCTGTAGACCTGTGGCACGTCTGTTGTCCGTTTATCTGGGACAAATCAACTGACACATCATATATCTATATCTATCTATCTATCTATCTATTATATATATATATATATATATATTTATATATATATATATATATATATATATGTATGTGTGTGTGTGTGTGTGTGTGTGTGTGTGTGTGTGTGTGTGTGTGTGTGTGTGTGTGTATGTATGATCTGTGTCAGCTGATAGAGACGAAAAAGGTGAGTGGTGCATTGAGGAGTCTGTGGAGACAAAGAGCTTTGTCCATGGAAGCAAAGAGGGGAATGTATGAGAGTATAGTTATACCAACACTCTTATATGGGAGTGAAGCATGGGTGGTGAATGTTGTAACGAGAAGGCTGGAGGTAGTGGAGATGTCGTGTCTGAGGGCAATGTGTGGTTTGAATATTATACAGAAAATTGGTAGTTAGGAAATTAGCAGGAGGTGCAGGATTACCAAAACTATTATCCAGAGGGCCAAAGAGGGGTTGTTGAGGTGATTCGGACATGTAGAGAGGCTGGAACAAAATAGAATGACTTCCAGAGTGTATAAATCTGTTGTGGAGGGAAGGCAGGGTAGAGGTCGGTCTAGGAAAGGATGGAGGGAGGGGGTAAAGGAGGTTTTGTGTGCGAGGGGCTTGGGCTTCTAGCAAGCATGCGTAAGCGTGTTAGATAGGAGACAATGGAGACAAATGGTTTATAGGACTTGATGTGCTGTTGGAATGTGAGCAGGGTAATATTTATGAAGGGATTCAGTGAAACCGGCAGGCTGGACTTGAGTCCTGGAGATGGGAAGTACAGTGTCTGCACTCTGAAGGAGGGGTGTTAATGTTGCAGTGTTATAATTGTAATATAAGCGCGCCTCTGGCAACACAGTGATGGAGTGAATGATGGTGAAAGTTCTTCTTTTTTGGGCCACCCTGCCTTGGTGTGAAACGGCGGAAATGATTAATAAATAAATAAATTAAATAAATATATATATATATATTTATATATATATATATATATATATATATATATATATATATATTATATTATATATATATGTGTGTGTGTGTGTGTGTGTGTGTGTGTGTGTGTGTGTGTGTGTGTGTGTGTGTGTGTGTGTGTGTGTGTGTACTCACTAGTTGTACTCACCTAGTTGACGGTTGCAGGGGTCGAGTCCAAGCTCCTGGCCCGCCTTTCACTGGTCGCTACTAGGTCACTCTCCCTGAACCATGAGCTTTATCGTACCTCTGCTTAAAGCTATGTTGGATCCTGCCTCCACTACATCGCTTCCCAAACTATTCCACTTCCTGACTACTCTGTGGCTGAAGAAATAATTCCTAACATCCCTTTGATTCATCTGTGTCTTCAGCTTCCAACTGTGTCCCCGTGTTGCTGTGTCCAGTCTCTGGAACATCCTGGCTTTGTCCACCTTGTCAATTCCACTCAGTATTTTGTAAGTCGTTATCATGTCCCCCCTATCTCTCCTCTCCTCCAGTGTCGTCAGGTTGCTTTCCCTTAACCTCTCCTCATAGGACATACCTCTTAACTCTGGGACTAGTCTTGTTGCAAACCTTTGCACTTTCTCTAGTTTCTTTACATGCTTGGCTAGGTGTGGGTTCCAAAATGGGCCTAACGTACACGGTGTACAGGGTCCTGAACGATTCCTTATTAAGATGTCGGAATGCTGTTCTGAGGTTTGCCAGGCGCCCATATGCTGCAGCAGTTATTTGGTTGATGTGGGCTTCAGGAGATGTGCCTGGTGTTATACTCACCCCAAGATCTTTTTCCTTGAGTGATGTTTGTGACTCTGGCCCCCTAGAATGTACTACGTCTGCGGTTTTCTTTGCCCTTCCCCAATCCTCATGACTTTGCACTTGGTGGGATTGAACTCCAGGAGCCAGTTGCTGGACCAGGTCTGCAGCCTGTCCAGATCCCTTTGTATTTCTGCCTGGTCTTCGATCGAATGAACTCTTCTCATCAACTTCACGTCATCTGCAAACAGGGACACCTCGGAGTTATTCCTTCGTCATGTCGTTCAACAAATACCAGAAACAGCACTGGTCCTAGGACTGACCCCTGTGGGACCCCGCTGGTCACAGGTGCCCACTCTGACACCTCGCCACGTACCATTACTCGCTGCTGTCTTCCTGACAAGTATTCCCTGATCCATTGCAGTGCCTTCCCTGTTATCCCTGTTGGTCTCCAGTTTTTGCACTAATCTCTTGTGTGGTACTGTGTCAAACGCCTTCTTGCAGTCCAAGAAAATGCAATCCACCCACCCCTCTCTCTCTCTTGTCTTACTGCTGTCACCATGTCATAGAACTCCAGTAGGTTTGTGACACAGGATTTCCCATCTCTGAAACCATGTTGGCTGCTGGTGATGAGATCATTCCTTTCTAGATGCTCCACCATTCTTGTCCTGACAATCTTTTCCATGATTTTGCATGCTATACATGTCAGTGACACTGGTCTGTAGTTTAGTGCTTCATGTCTGTCTCCTTTTTTAAAGATTGGGACCACATTTGCTGTCTTCCATGCCTCAGGCAATCTCCCTGTTTCGATAGATGTATTGAATATTGTTGTTAGGGGTACACATAGCGCCTCTGCTCCCTCTCTCAGGACCCATGGAGAGATGTTATCTGGCCCCATTGCCTTTGAGGTATCTAGCTCACTCAGAAGCCTCTTCACTTCTTCCTCGGTTGTGTGTACTGTGTCCAGCACATGGTGGTGTACCCCACCTCTCCGTCTTTCTGGAGCCCCTTCTGTCTCCTCTGTGAACACTTCTTTGAATCTCTTGTTGAGTTCCTCACATACTTCACAGTCATTTCTTGTTGTCTCTCCTCCTTCCTTCCTTAGCCTGATTACCTGGTCCTTGATGGTTGTTTTCTTCCTGATGTGGCTGTATAACAGTTTCGGGTCAGATTTGGCTTTTGTTGCTATGTCATTTTCATATTGTCTTTGGGCCTCCCTTCTTATCTGTGCATATTCGTTTCTGGCTCTATGACTGCTCTCCTTATTCTCCCGGGTCCTTTGCCTTCTATATTTCTTCCATTCCCTAGCACACTTGGTTTTTGCCTCCCTGCACCTTTGGGTAAACCATGGGCTCATCCTGGCTTTTTCATTATTCCTGTTACCCTTGGGTACAAACCTCTCCTCAGCCTCCTTGCATTTTGTTGCTACATATTCCATCATCTCATTAACTGGCTTCCCTGCCAGTTCTCTGTCCCACTGAACCCCGTTAAGGAAGTTCCTCATTCCTGTGTAGTCCCCTTTCTTGTAGTTTGGCTTCATTCGTCCTGGCCTTCCTGCTTCTCCCTCCACTTGTAGCTCTACTGTGTATTCGAAGCTTAAAACCACATGGTCACTGGCCCCAAGGGGTCTTTTGTATGTGATGTCCTCGATATCTGCACTACTCAAGGTGAATACTAAGTCCAGCCTTGCTGGTTCATCCTCTCCTCTCTCTCTTGTAGTGTCCCTTACGTGTTGGTACATGAAGTTTTCCAGTACCGCCTCCATCATCTTAGCCCTCCATGTATCTTGGCCCCCATGCGGGTCCAAGTTCTCCCAATCGATCTCCTTGTGGTTAAAGTCACCCATGATCAGGAGCTTTGCCCTGCATGCATGAGCTCTTCTGGCCACTGTAGCCAGTGTGTCAACCATCGCTCTATTGCTCTCGTCGTACTCTTGCCTTGGCCTCCTGCTGTTCTGTGGTGGGTTATACATCACTGCTATTACCACCTTGGGACCTCCAGAGTGAAGCGTTCCCGCTATGTAATCACTTTCTTCTCCATTGTCTCCTCTCTCTCCAGCTCATCAAAATTCCAGCGATTTTTGATCAGCAATGCCACTCCTCCACCCCCCCCCCTGTTCCTTCTGTCTTTCCTCAGGATTTGGTATCCCGTTGGAAAGATGGCATCTGTTATCATACCTGTAAGCTTGGTTTCTGTTAGAGCTATGATGTCCGGTGATGCCTCTTTGACTCTTTCATGCCACTCCTCCCACTTATTTGTTATTCCATCAGCGTTTGTGTACCATACCTTCAGTTTCCTTTCCAACACTGTGGTTTGGGGGGCCTGTGAGGATGGGAGACCTGGTAGCATACTGTGGGATTCTATAGCTCAGTGTTGGGTGGAGGCTGTGGGTATGGATTGTAGTGTGTGTTGGGATGGTGTGATAGGTTGTATGGTTCTGAGAATAGTTGTGTGTGTGCTTGCCCTTGCTGTTCTGTTCTGCTCTGACTGACCTCTGCTGGTTCCATCCTTGTCTCTTTTCCTAGCTCCTTTCGCTTTTTTGTCCTCTCCCTCAGCTACTGTCGTTCTGATTGTGTTCTGTCTCTGTCTAGGAACACCTTCTTGTACTCTTCCGAGTATTTCAACCGTGGTTTCTCTTGGAGGATCCTGTTCTGCACTGTTTCCGTTCTGAGAATCAGCTTGATTGGTCAGTTTCTCCCCTTCGAGTACCCCCCTATTCTCTGAAAATTTACAATTCTCGTCCATCTCTTCCCCTTTTTCCCGTGATGATTTTCTCAATCTCCTTCCTTTCTTCTTGCTGCCTTTCAGTGTGTGTCCTTTCCTCTCTCTCCTGAAGCCCATGGATAAACACTGATTTTGCCCTTTCCTCCTCCCATTGCCTCACCCTCTGTGACTCTGGATCCTGCCTGTATGTGGTCAGTTTCTCCCTTGATTTTTCTAGTGGCTCTTGATAGCATGGTTGTGCCTCAGCATTCGACCTATCACCCTCTCCATCTGCACCCAGCTGTTCTTCCCTTTCACTCCTTGGCCCTCCTTGGCAGGCTGATATGACCTTAACATAA